AATGGAAGGCTCAACCTTAGACTAGCTCTCCAGGGCTCTGCTGGCAAGCAGAGCCAGCACCACAGCAGCCCTAGGTCCACCATCTCTCTTGCCCCAGCTTTCTATGCTAAAGAAAGAATTGAACAAATGGCAGGTATGCAGGCCAGGCAGTGCTGCTCAAATTAGCTATGTTGCTAAGGAAACAAGTCAACTGGTTGAAGGAAGGAGCATTGGGTAAAGGAGATAAATCAATAAGTGAACCTATTTTTATCATTTCCCTAATGATTGTCTTGAAGCTGCTAGGCAGGGAAAGGGAAGGGAGCTCTGCAGTGACACAAGTCCTCATTAAGGGCTCAGAAGGAGCAAAGAGCGAAGGGGTGTTTAGGAAGATTACTAGCAAAGTTTGTGAAGTGAGGCCCTTAGCGAGCAGACAGTGAGATGGAAGGGTACCTCTTTGCAGGTTAAAAGCTCTTTGATGATTATTTCTTTATTCAGCTTGCTCTGTGCTTTTGATCCCTGACATTTGATACTTTAGAAATCTTATACTGATTTCCATCATCATCATCATCTTCTTCATCTTTATACTCAGGTTGGCATGGGTTTTGGTATTGGTGTGTTTAATTTTTTCAAAATACGTATCACTTTAATTTGATTTTATTGGAAGTTAATGCATGCTCACTGTAACACTCAGTAGATAAAGGAGTAAAGAAAAAAGTGAAAATAATCCTACTACTCAGAGAAAGCTCATTATCTCTCAAGCAAGACAGAACCCCTCCTCCATCCTCTTTCTCTTTTTTAACATTAAAGAGAACTTCTATGCACACTGTTCTTTTCTTTTCTTTTTCTTCTTTAATACATAATGTATGCCCACAGTATACAGTACAAAAGTTCAGATGCTAATACTGTGATGAGAGAATATGGGGCATCTTTTTATAAGGATACCACAGACTCTAGTTTCCCTATGCTATTCATTTAGTGACTAATTACATTACAGCTAATGCATATCCACTATATACCAAGCATGGTGTGGGTCACCAGGGATATAGACATGAATGGGACAGGCAGACTCTGCCCTCAAGCCTCCCAGGCCTTACTGCTTCATTGTCTCCATTTGTTCAGGATCTCAGAACACAGTCCAGACTCCAAGACAGACATTCACCAAAATATGCTTCATGCCAGGCCCAGTATATAATGGAAGTCCCTGAATTCCTAGGCAGAATCAGAGTTCTGCACAGATTTTCACACTGTCCCTGACTGTGACTGCCATAAATGATGCAGTTCTTTGCAGCCATGGCAACATGGAGCTTCCTTTGACCTTTCCAAGTTACATCTTTGTCTTGTCTGTGAGGCATATTAGCTTAAACTGTGGGTCATTATTTGCAGTCCAGGGTCTTCCCTTGGAGATTGGAGCAGAGCCTTTGCTATTGGGCTTGAAATCTGCTGGCAAGGAGGAAGGAGTGAGCATGAACCTGGCCAAAGCAGAGGGAGAGACTCCAAACCCTCAGTAGAGCTCCACCCAGAAGACAGCCTCCTTGCATTCCCTCCTGCATGTAACATTGTTTAAGCTCCTACTATGTATCAGAATCCCTGTCAAGCACTGCCCATGAAGAGTTAAATGGAACACCTGCTTTCATTGTATGGTTTCTTGGGTGAGAAATTGAAGATATTTTTTAAAAAATGTGTAATCCAAAGAGAAATGAGGTACAAGGAGAAATTTCACTAAGTGAAAATTTAGCTTATGATCATTAAAGAGGAGAAAGACCCGTACAGGTGATGGCAGATGAACTAGATGTCAATGTCTGTTCTTTGTGTTGTCTTCAAAAGGGGAAGTGGAAAAAAGGTTAAAGAAAAGGGCTGTAACAGGGCAGCTGAGGCACCACCCCGACTCCTGGGTGTCTTCGTGCTAGCGTCCCCTGACAGTTCCCAGTGCCCAGCCTTTCTTCAGTCTGGCCCACAGAATCTTCATAGTCTCCCTTTTTTCAACATCATACTCTTAGTGCATCTTTTTTTATTACTCTAGCTGAGTTCCTCCTGAGGTCTAAGTCTGGAAGGCCTACAGAGGCATCCATTTGAAATTTCCAAACACTGAAGCTAAAGCAACTTCAGACAGCTGCCCTGAATAGGGCCTTAAGTATCTGACAGTAGGCAGAGGATTTAGATAGAGGAGGAAGAGGGTCTATGATTGTTTTTTAAGGTTGTGTCTCCTTCCCCAGAACCCATGAATTGCCAGATTCCTACCTTTTGATTCTAGTATTTGGGACCTTGGATAGCCCCAGTCTTCGAGACCTCATGACTTTTCAGCTATCCAGAGAACTAGTCAGTCACAGAGAATTTTACTTATTGGCCCCTGGGTCCAAGAGCCATTGTCCTGTCCTGTAGGTGAGATGGTCATGCCTTCTCCAGGCTGGTCTTGTGTCTCTAACAAACCTCACAGATCTGATTAGAAATGGCAAAGCTTAAAGATCCTAGCAGGGAGCTATAGATGGAGAATGTCTGGCCAGCCAGATGTAGGTGCAAAAGTGGAGGTAAGTAGAGGCAGCATTCTGAGTATTGGTAGAGAGAACATCCCATGAGGAGTGCAGTTTCCATACTGTGTTTTGCCTATAGTCTCAGCATTGACTGAGAGCTCCTACAGTTTTAGTCTGTGGTTCTCCCTCTCAGCCTTTCAGAGAAGAAGACACAACCCTACAAAGCAATCATAGACCCAAGAGATTCACAAGAGGTAGAGATGTCTGTAGCTAGAATGGGAAAGTGGGAAAGTGCTCTTTCCCAGTCCTACTTTCCAGGTCAGGCGTTGGCTTCATGGAGGTGTTCAGCAGTTTCTGAGCTTTCACAGTACACGTCTAACCATGGGCAAGGGCCAGGTGAGCCCAAAATTTTAGTGAACGGTTTTATTAAGAGCATTGGGGTGTGTGTGTGTGTGTGTGTGTGTGGTGTGCAGATACACACTTGTACAGTAGTATTAAAGGCTCTAAGAATTCCTGCTGGGAAGGAACCTACTTAACTTTACTTAACCTAGACTTCCCTTCATTTATTTGATTGCAAGTTTCTGTAGCACTCGTACTCCATGCCCTACATTGTGAAAACAGTAACCCCAGATGCCCTCAGCTTCTGTAGTCATTCATCAGTAATGTATCCACATGCTGTCAGTTTTCCTTCTGGACCCATCTCCTAGGTAAGGACAGAAAGTAATCAGCTACCCACTTCTGCCATTTTCTGATCTTCGTTTTCCCAGGTTGGTCTTGGAGTTCTGAGCATCAGTATCCAGCTCAGGATAGCTTGGCATGCTCAGGGGTCTTGTGGGATAGTGGGTCCTGGAGTAGTCCCTTGTCACTCTACATTCAGAGCTCTAAGTTAGATCTGGTCATAGGAGGGATGTGTACTCCTTCTGATACTGCTGTGCTGATGGCCTTGGCAGGGTATGTGTTGGGGCTGTGGTCCCAAGACAGTGGGGTGTACATACTGTGAGTGCCTGCAGCATGCTCATTTCTCAAGGGCTGCCACCAGCTTCCAGAGTTTAAAGCAGAAAGAATGTCTAGTAGTGCTGAAGGACTCCCATGCAGTGACTCCCCTCCAGTCATGAAGGGCTTCAGGAAGCACAGTGGAATCTGAGGCAGGAGTCTGTTTTGAGGCCCCCAGAGACCCATCCACTTTTCAGATCTGGTGGCTGAGCTTGGAGAAGCAGAGGATCCCTGGGGTGGGGGTGCCATGTGAGAACTGCAGATGTGTGGGAAGGGGGATCACCAGCTGAGGGAGAATGCCTGTGACTCAGGGATGCATGCAGTGGGGGAAGAGATGGTACTACCAAATGTGGTGGACCAGGACTAGAAAAGTTACCTTCTCTCCAGCCTCCTGTGCTAGCCCTAGGACCACAGCAACTGAGGGACCACTCTTACTTGGCTTCTGCCTGCAGAATGCTCTGGGAAGCCCCTCCTTGGATATTCCTTTATGTTGATTTGATGCAGTTGACAAAAAATGTCACAACAGGGATAGGGTGAGAGGCACCAGGGACATGTTTATGATCTGCCTTTCTTTTGTCCTAGGAGAGAGGTATCTAGGCCCTGTGTCCCACACAGCTAGCTTGGCTCTGTCGGGAGGCAGATGAATTGTCCCTGTCCTTCTTTTCCCTTTGCCAGATCTGCTACCCTTTCTCTCCCACCTGAATTCTGGAATCTGCCAGAGAATAGGTTGCTCTGCAAGGCCAGTGACAGTAGCTGGCTTGTGTTTGTCATAACAGTAGTTACAGAATGAAATCCCAATGTGCAGGATGACTGGGCCCCGGGGAGGATGCCAGGGTTTCATTATCTCCTTTCTAGCTGTGTCCTCACCTTTTTTTGAGCTTGCAGCAAAGCCTTTCTGTTGGAGTCAGGATGCCTGATTTGAGTCAGAGCCCTGATTTTCAAAGAGGCACAGGGAGCAACTCACCTGTCTTCAGAGAAACGTAGCAGGGAAATGCTTGCATCCACTCATTTGATTCACAGTGTAGTTCCCAGCAGCTGGACTCTGCGATGGTAGAGTCCAACTTATGGACTATTTCTTTTTGTTACCCATAAGTGCAGAAGCTTAGGAGAAAATAAGGTGAGGTCAAGTACCTGTTATTTGGCTCCATTTGCATTTTCTGAGTTGGATATTAAAACAGAAGAGGGTTCACATAAGGGGGGTTCCTTTCTGGGGATTCTTCTTTTCTCAGTTGATCAGAGGAGAGGGACACATTAGATCTGATGCCCAGAAAGCAACAATCACATTTGGGTCTTTATTAAGACTGAAGCTGGGTCTTATTATTTCCTGCCTAGTTCCTTTTCTTGGAGAAGATGCTTTGTGTTCACAGACTAGTCCCAAGTGGTGATGCCCTCGATGCTAAGGATTATGCACTGTCCTGCCTACCTGCCTGCTAATATAATTCATGCAAACTGCGAGACCCAGTGAGGGTGGAGGATGTTTGCGTGATTATGTACGTGGCCAATTTGGAGGCTGCATCCTTCTCTCTTACATGAATTTGTTCCTTAACTCCTCCTCTCCACGCCATTTGAGTACATGATCCTGGCTACCATCATTGCCAACTGCATCGTCTTGGCTCTGGAGCAGCATCTTCCTGAGGATGACAAGACCCCGATGTCCCGAAGACTGGTATGTGCTTCCTTCCTTCTCCCCCTCATCCCTGGTTCTGTTCTCCTTGTTTTCATTCCTCTCCTCTTCCCTGTGTCCTTTCCCCAACAGTTCTGTGAGGAGTTTGTTCTTCACGGAAGGACAAGTAGCAACAAACCCCACTGGGACTCATGAGGAACAGGGCATTGCGAACACTTGTGTGTACATCGTGTGTTAGCCAGGGAAGAAGAGGGCAGGCATGAGCACAGTTTGCTTCAATACTCTTTCCTAAGGGAATATTGAAGTGAGAAGAAAAAGGGAGGGCCGAGGAGAAGGGGAGGAGGAAGCTCCAAGCTCAAGAGTGTTGGTGGTTATGTAGTTACTAAATGCCGATGTCCGTATTCTCCCTAAAGGCATGATTCACATGTCTAATCCTACAGAAGAGAACACATAGTTTCTTTGAAATCCAAGTTCATGGACAAGTGGTCCAGCCTGATGACCCAGGTGTGAAAAACCCAACATTTCCAGCTTGTGTAAAGACCCAAGTTTGTTTGCAGAAACATGCTCCATCTGGACAAAGCTGTGTCATCAGAGACATTCAGGAGAAAAATAAAAATCATAGTTCCTGCATGGGACATATCTGTCCATTCCCAAAGCTCTTCTCTTCACTCTGTGCACTCCATGAGTCATAGAAAGCCTGCAACTTCAGGGCCTCTTGGCCTTTCAGTACCTCCAAACTGTACCTATACACAGGGCTGGTCTTCATGGATATTCAGGAGATGGCCAAGATGTGCCTTTGCTTATGTGTGATAAAACACAGTCCTTTTCTTATTGTGCCTCTGGTCTTCATCCTCACAGGAGAAGACAGAACCATATTTCATTGGGATCTTCTGCTTTGAAGCTGGGATCAAAATTGTGGCCCTAGGGTTCATCTTCCATAAGGGTTCATACCTCCGCAATGGCTGGAATGTCATGGACTTTATTGTGGTCCTCAGTGGGTGAGTCTCTTCCTTCTTCCCTTCGTGATCTTTCTGAGTGTGTGTGTGTGTGTGTGTGTGTGTGTGTGTGTGTGTGTGTGTATGTATGTGTGTGTGTGTGAGTGTGTTGGGAGTTTGGGGGTGTCATGAAGTAGCTGGTGCAGGGAAATCAGGGTGAACAGAGGGCAGAACATAGAACGAGAACCAAGGCTACAATTCTCCATGCATCTGGACCACAGAGGTTCCATCTCAGGAGGAGTGGGGGTGCTCTGTGGAGATGTGTCCGGCATTAGGCAGAGGCTATGGGATTCTCAGGCAAGCCTGGCTTCCCATTGTGTGTTTGGCCAGGTGGCTGAACACCCACTTATCCAAGGAGGAGCCTTTCACTGAAGCAAGCAGCTTGGACTAGTTGGAGGGTCACCCTCAAGACATGAGTCAAAAGATACAGCAGGTACAGTTTCATTCAGCGGTTGAAGAAGACCCCAGTTATATTTTCTGAGCTAAAAATTAAGATTCAGGCTCTGATAACAGACTTAAATGATTTTCAGATTTATTAATGGCATGAAATTAAAATGTTTGCTAAGTCATCCCTTGGAACTTAATATAATAGATATTGGGGATGACCCAGTGGCACAGAACATATAGGATGGTGGTGCGTTTAGGTAAGTACATAATTCTTTTGGGTAAGAATATAACGAGAGGATGATGGGTGGACCTAGCACTGTTGGTAGCAAATGTGATAGGCCTTGGCATTGCGGTGATAGACATATACACGCTTCTGTGGCTTGTGTGTCTTTGTGTCCATTGGCTTTTGGTGCTTAAAGGGGAGAAGGGTAGACCTGTGTAGATATGGCAGCAAGTCTTTGGCATGGAAATTCCCTTCCTCAGCTGCACTGGTAAAGAAAAGAAGAGAGCTGCATAGGATGATTATGATTAACAAAATGAGAAAGGAGGGAAGTTGTAGAGATTAGTTGGGGTGAGGGCAAAGTCTGAGAAGGTAAGATTTTTAGAGCTGTGTATCTTTTCGTTGTCTTGTAATATAGACACAGCGCTCATATTTTTGACCTTTTAGGCCAATCGTGCTTGAATGAAAAAGGAGTAGTTTAAGATCCAATGATTAGACTATAGTTCCTAAGCAACTAGCCCCTCGATATAGGTAATGAATAAATAGGGATGCCTGTTTAAAATGATCTATTGTCTTAGAAAAGGATTTTTGAAGGCAATTTTTCCAGAAATATTCTTAAGCTACCTTTTAAATGTAATTTAGCATATGAAGATACATTTTATGTGTTGTGTTACAGAAGTACATTGTCATAGAAAATGTAGCAAACCTGAATGGTGTTTTAAATGTCTCTAAAATCAGTAATATATACTGTATTAGAAAAGAACTAAGGGGGAGCCTGAGCCGTTTACAAATATTATGCTTTTGTCTGAAATGAAAGTATTGTATTCTGTGTGTGTGTATGTGAGAGAGAGAGAGAGAGAGAGAGAGAGAGAGAGAGAGAGAGACTAGTTCTGCTCATTGTCATATGCACTGAGGCCATTTGAAATTTCTGGTGCAAGCCTCTTATTTTTTATTTTAAATTGTTATGTGTTTAAGAAAATACAGGAAAATCAAAGAAAAACCCAGCTCACAGATTAAGAGAAATTTCTGATTTTGTATGGCATTTCCTTCCAGCTCTTTAAGCTAAGCAAGTTTTCTTTTAAATGCTTGTAATTTTGCTGCCTTTCCCAATATAGTACAAGCGTATTGCACAGTTCTCCATACTTTGGTAAAAATCTGTAACAACTGATCAGCACTTTGTTAAGGGGACTCACACAGCTTGCTTCTCGTTTTTGCTTGTCATTTGACATTTAGATTGCTTTCTGGGTTTTGCTATGATAAATAATTATTAAAGATGCTCCAATATACATCTTTTGGATGTCATACTTTGCTAGACATTTTGACAGGTTGAAGTGCAGTCAGTTCTCTATATCCATGGATTCAGAGCAGATTCAACCAAGCATGGATAGAAAATATTTGGGGAAAAATGTACCTGTATTGAACACACAGAGACGTTTTTCCTTATCACCATTCCCTAAACAGTATAGTATGATAAACCTTTACATGGCATTTCTGTTGCATGATAATGTAGGTAATATAGAGATGATTTAAGGCATCCAGGAGGTAGGATGCATATATGTTATAATGCTATTAACATTTAATTTTATAAAAGGTGTGTGTGTGTGTGTGTGTGTGTGTGTGTGTGTGTGTGTGTGTGAATTTTGGCATCCACAATTCCTGGAACCAGTGTCCTGCAGGTTCCACAAAAAATGCAACTGGATCTGGCTGTTCTTGTGTGGGATGCGGAGACTATGATGGGGTATGGGTAGGTGGAAGACCCTCACGATTTGATTAGACAAGTGAAGATTAATGGGAGCTTTATTAAGGGCTGTCATAAAGTTGAAAGAGCAGATGAGTGGAAACCAGAAAGACACTTTAATTGTTACAGCAAAGAAGGCCCTCCATTCCTCAACTGCATGTCCAGGGGTGTTAGAGTTTGGCCAACTCAGTAGTCCTGTCAGAGCTGTGTGTCCAGTCTTTGTTACTGGCTCTTCAGACTTTGCTGGCACTGTGGATGACTGTAAGAAGCCCTGGCTTCAAACAGGACTTTGTTCTTGGTGATCCCCTTCCAGCTTAAGAGCCTTCTGCTGGCATGTAGAATCTCTGGTTCAATGCAGATGAATTCCAGGTAAAGGATGCTAGTGCTTTTGATCTCTCTGCTGAGAGGAGTGATTCTAAACTATCGGAATGGTTATATGGGTGCATAATCCAATGCTAGCATCCACACAGGGTATTCATCTGCTACTTTGCATTGCTTTTAAGATGCATACCATCTCTGAAATCAGCTCACATCTTATTTCATTGAATACTGACATGGCAGAACTTGATGGTATTTTCTTCTTTCTGTCTTAGTGTTATATTAAAGTATCAGGCATCTCACAATTACTGGGGTCTTAGCTTCAGTTAAATATGTTGCAATACCGAGCTAGTGAGGCCTACAGAGCAAACTTCAGAGATGAGTCATCAAGTACTCAGGGAAGTTGTGTCATTTGGTTAATATCTCCTGCTCTGTGGTGGCAGGTCCTGGAGTTCAGATAGATAGGTAGGTAGGTAGGTAGATGATTGATAGATGATAGATAGATAGATAGATAGATAGATAGATAGATAGATAGATAGTTGATAGTGGCAGGGCTGATATTTTTTAAAGCTTGCTCCATGCACCTCTCCCCCTTCAGGCCACACAATATTCCCCTTTTGCCTTTTTGACATCTATACCCAGAGTCATCCCTGTTGATAGCTCTTCCTTCCCACCTTGTCTCTAGGTGTCACCTCACATTTTACTCCTGTGCACAGGGGGAATGACAGTGTTGGAGCATGACACAGTACCTCAGGGATGAGGCTGCACAACACCTCAGCTTTCAGTTTTGGTGGTGGGAGGGGATTGGGGGAGGGTGGGAAGGGAGGTAGGTGCTTGCTGTAGCACCATACAGCTGGCTCTGCATGGGACTGGCTGTAGCTAAAAGACAAATATTTGGGAGACTGGTGTCACCACATCTATCTCCAACCTCTAACCTCCTAACCTTTAGTATTATTCTTAGACATGTAAATTGAAGATATGCATGGTTTAGAAAGTCTCCTAATATAAATTATTTCTTGGAATTCTCATAAGCCCATTAAAAGGTTTGTCTAGTTTTCTGCTACTACAGAATACTGGGTATTTTGTAAGCAACAGAGATTTATGTCTTATAATTCTAGGGGCTGAAAACTCCAAGAGCTGGCCCTGGTATCTGATGAGGGCCTTTACATGCTGAAGAAGCACACATAAGAAAGGAAAACTGACCAAACTCATTCTTTTATCAGGAGCCCACTTGTGCCATAACTAACCCGTTCCATTGATAACGCCCTTAATCTATCCATTAGGAAGATGTCCTCATGACCTAATCATCTCCCAAGGCACCACTCTTAATACTGTTACAATGTCAATTACATTTCAACAGGGGCATTTGAAGGGGGCGTTCAAACCATAGCAGGGATCTTGTTATTCTCATTTTTCTAATGATTGCATTAATGCTCACGGAGGGTACATGGCTTACTAGCAGGCACTCTATTCAGGACTTGAACCTACATCTTCTGCTCTAAGTTTCTTCTTCAGTATTCTTCATTCTCCTATCGTCAGTCACCTTTGCCACTCGAGGGCTCTGTAGCTCTCAAGCTCTATGAGTGCATGTTTCCTTGGTCCCCTAGAAGCAGGGAATTGGGGTAGAGTAAAAAGACACAAGATCATACAGGTGCTCTCAGTTCAAAGCTGGGTCTGCTTGTGTGATTTGAAGAGGGAAAGTGCTCATGCATCCTTTTGAGACTTTAGGCTGTGATTTGGAATAAATAAAGCTCCCTGATCTGTAGCAAAGAAGGCATGTTAGCTCTCAGCTTAGTGTGGTTTAGCGCATAAAAACTAGATCAGAAGGTCCAGCTGATTTCTTAACTGTCTTGTTTATTCACCCATTCATCCACTTATTCATTTATTCAGCAAGAATAGTATTGTACCAGAAACACCAAAATGAATGCATTCGCATCTCTGCTGAAAGATAATGGGATTTATTATCCCTTTAACAAACTTTTATCTTACAGATCTTGGAATCTCTTTTACATTGTTAACAACTTGGGGAGGGGCTATGTTTAAATACTTGTCAGGCCACCTAGAATATTCCATATTACTTGAAGTCATAAATATATGCTAATCTTGACAATAAGTTATTGAACCTAAATTGATGGAGAATGATATGGGAGGATGAGAGTTCACTGGTACCTCTAAACCACTAGTCAGAGCAAGGAAATGGGGGTGCATGATTGAACCTCTTTCTCCATCCTCAGTCTCTTGTTCTCTATAGAATACAGGAAGAATTCTGAGGGAAGCCTGGGCTTGGGACAGTGAGAGACTGTCTCCATATCTCCCCTTAAGTTCATTGGGATCCATATC